TTTATTCTTTTGATGCAATTGAAAATGGGATTGTTTTCTTAATTTCTCTTTCTTATAGTTCCTCGTTAGTGCATAAAAAGGCAACAGAGTTTTATATATGGATTTTGTATCCTGCAACTTTATTGAATTTCTTATTAGTTTTAACAGTTTTTTTTTTTTTTCTTTTTGGTGGAGTCTTTAGGGTTGTCTATAAAACCATATCATCTGCAAATAGTGAAAGTTTTATTTCTTCCTTTCTAACTTAGGTGCCTCTTATTTCTTATTCCTGCCTAAGCTCTGACTAGGACTTCCAATATTATGTTGAGTAAAAGTGGCAAAAGTGGTCATCCTTGTCTTTTTCATGTTCTTAAGGGAAAAGCTTTCAGCATTTGAGTATGTTAGTTGTGGGCTCACCATATATGGCCTTTATTATGTTAAGGTACATTCTGTCTATTCCCAATTGAGTGAGAGATTTTTCATAAATGGATATTGATTTTGTCAATTGCTTTTTCTGCTTCTATTGAGATGATAGTATGATTTATTTTTATTTTTATTTTTTTAGAGAGAGGGAGAGTAAGTGTGAGTAAGGGGGGGGCAGGGAGAGACAGAATCTTAAGCAGATTCCATGCACAGGATGGAACCCAATGTGGGGCTCCATCTCACAACACTAAGATCATGATCTGAGCCAAAATCAAGAGTTGAACTCTTAACTGACTGAGCCATCCAGGTGCCCCAAGATGATAATGATTTTTTATTTTCATTTTGTTAATGTGGTGTATCACATTGATTGATTTGCATATATTGAACTATCTTTGCATCCTGAAATAAATCCTATTTGATCATGGTTTATGATCCTTTTAAGGCATTGTTAAATTCTGTTTGTTAACATTTTGTGAGGATTTTTGCATCTGTGTTCATCATGGATATTGACCTATAATTTTCTTTCTTTCTTTCTTTCTTTTGTGATGTCTTTGCCTGGTTTTGGTATCAAGGTAATGCTGGACTCATAAAATGAGTTTGGGAGTTTTCCTTCCTCTTCAATTTTTTGGAAGAGTTGAGAAAAATAAGTTTCAGCTCTTCTTTGAATGTTTGGTAGAATTCACTGGTGAAACCATCTGATCCTGGACTTTTGTTTGTTGGGGGTTTTTTTATTACTGATGCATTCTCTTTACTAGTAATTGGTCTGTTCAGATTTTATATTTCTTCATGATCCAGTCTTGGAAGATTGTATATGTCTAGGAATTTATCCATTTCTTCTAGGTTGTCCAATTTGTAGGAATATAACTGTTCATAGTAGTCTCTTTTGATACTTTGTATTTCTTTGGTATCAGTTGTAATTTTTCCTCTTTCTTTTCTGTTTTTATTTATTTGCACCTTCTTTCTTTTTATCTGACTGAGTCTAGCTAAAGGTTTGTCAGTTTTGTGTATCTTTTCAAAGAACCAACTGTTAGTTTCATTGATCCTTTCATTGTCTTTTTCGTCTCTCTTTCATTTATTTTTGTTCTGATCTTTATTATTTCCTTCCTTCTACTAACTTTGGGCTTCATTTGTTCTTCTTTTTCTAGTTCCTTTAGATATACAGTTAGATCATTTATTTGAGATTTTTCTTGTTTCTTGAGGTAGGCCTCTATAGCTATGAACTTCCCTCTTAGAATGTTTTTGCTGAATCACATGGATTTTGGTCTGTTTATTTACATTTCATTTCTCTGAAGATATTTTCTGATTTCTCCTTTGATTTTTTCATTGACTTCTTCATTGTTCAGTAGCATATTTTAAAATCTCAACTCATTTGTGATTTTTCCAGTTTTCTTTTTGTAGTTGATTTCTGGTTTCATACCATTGTGTTTGAAAAAGATGCTTGATATGATTTCAGTTTTCTTAAATTTATTGAGACTTATTTTGTGGCCTAGCATATGACCTATCTTGGAGAATATTCCTTGTGTACTTGAGAAGAATGTATATTCAGCTGTTTGGGGAAGGATTGTTCTTTGTATGTAAATTACTTATCTCCATTTCCTTAAGTTTTTTTCTGGGGTTTTATCTTGGTTTTTTGTTTGTTTGTTTGTTTGTTTGTTTGTTTGTTTGAAACATATTCCTCTAGTTCCTCATTTTGTTTAACTCTCTGAGTTTGATTCTGTGGGTCAGGTGAAACAGCTATCTTTCTCAGTCTTAAAGTGGTGGCCCTGTGTGGGCAATGATCCTTACCATTTAACTTTGCTCTATTCATTAGCTGTTTCTTGAATTGTCTCTCCAGTTGTTTCAGACTTATGGAGCCCAGAAACACAGTCCCTCCTGGCTACCAAAGCCTAGGACTCAAGGGGGATCCCTTGTGTGGACTGTGCATGGAAGGACTATGGGGAGGTAGAGTGCTGCCTGCGGGGGGCCTGCAGTAGTGGAATGGGGGGCTTTCACCTGCCTCTGGCAAGGCTGCAGCATCAGTGTGGTTGGGTGGGTGGGCACTAGCTGGGTAGATTGATAGTGCAAAAATAGCACCCACTAGTGCCAGCACTAGCAAAGTAGAGGAAGAATGCAAAAAAAATTTGCAGTTTTCTCTGGAGAGAGTTCCAACAGGCTTTTGCGTCTCTGGTGGAATTTTTAAGATTAGCAAGTGAATCTCCTTTGCATATGGTCTGTCTTTTCAAACTGCTGCTTTTGCCCTGGGCCCTGGGGTGAGTGAGTTTGTGTATGAGATCTTTAAGAGTAGACTTTCTATTCCCTACATCCCTATTCTCTTGGATTTAAAACCCATTGGTTTTCAAAACCAGATGTTTTGGGGGCTCATCTCTAGTACACATCCTGAGAATTGGGGTGCCTGATGTTAGACACAAATCTTTCTCTCCCTGGGAAGGAGTTCCACATTTGTGAGACCCTTCCTGATGGTGGGTCACTACACCCTGGTGGGGTTTTTGGTAAGACTAGGTCTCTGCTTCTGCTACCCATCTCAACATGGCCTTTTTATCCTTTGTTGTAGAGTAATTTTTCATCTAGTTATCAAGTTCCTTTCAGAGGGAATTGTTCCATATGTAGCTATAGATTTGTTGTATCCATGGGAGGAGGTTAGTTCAGGATCTTCCTATGCTGCCATCTTGAACCACCTCTGGCAAAGGTTGCTTTAAAATTCAGCTTAGGAATTAATAAATTTTCACTAGGGAAATCTTCCCTTTCTTTATTATTGATAAGGCTTATTTATTTAAAACAGTAAAAATAATGTTGATAAAGGTAAATAAAAGTTAGAAAATTATTGTTTCTAAATCAAAAGCCTAGAAAAACTTATTAGGTAGTTGAGAAAATATAATTTTTAGTATCTTTTATATTAATTGTGGAAGTACAGTGGAGAAATTGGGACTTGCACAGGTAAGTTATGACTACATCAACTAAGACAACTCCCCTAACTGACTCGTAACAATTGGTCTAACAACTTTTTACGCTCATGTATTATATATTTTTATAGAGTCTAGATTGTGCTTAGGAATTACAAAAACTAGAGGGAGATGCACAATTTAGTGAGAAAAAATGTTTATAGGGAACTCTTAATACTTTAATTGTGGGACTTGAGAGTTTAGGTTTTTATTAGTTTTGAACATAAATCCCAGAAGGGCACATGAGGTCATTTTGAAGCCTATATTTGCTGCTCAAAAGATCATGATCTGCCAAATTAAGTGAAAGGAAAAGGGGATCATCCTGGCCATGTCATTCATGCCTCATGGCACTGGAAACATCTGTTGGAGTTGGCAATGGGCCAATCAGGGACTTCTCCAAAAGCAAAGTCTAGTGACAACTTTTAGGAGGAAGAGATGAAACCATTTAGGGAAATTCTTATATAGTGTAGCATTTTTCTCATTTCTACTACAACATCATCTTTATAATCCTTTCACAAGTAATTTTATTTTTACCATTTAAAGAACATAAATTAAGCATTCATGATGAAATTTCCAGTAGTACAAATTAAATAGATGTTGAATTGTGTATTCTTTCATTTTTTTGAATTTGTTAATATATATGTTTCTAGCCATGAAAATGTAGGCCTTAAATTTTGACCCATTTTAGTTATAATATTTAGAATTTTTAGAGTTCTAACTACAGATAAGGCCAATAATGTTCTTCATAGAATAAAACAAAATGATCACATTTTTATCTGTACCTGGTTGTTTTTGTTTTAACCTTTATTTGTTATTTGAGTTTTTCTGGTATTTTATGTGAAAATGATTACAGATTCATTTATATTTATATACTAATAAATAAGTCCCAAATGTCAGGAGAGACAGCTCAGCCCCTCAGTTTATGTATCTTCTCACTCCTATTACAGATATTGAGCTTCAATGGAAACACTAGAATGTTCTTAATAACAACATAGTAATAAAATAGAAGTGTTTTTTTTAAAAGATTTTATTTATTTATTTGACAGAGAGAGACACAGCGAGAGAGGGAACACAAGCAGGGGGGAGTGGAAGAGGGAGAAGCAGGCTTCCCACTGAGCAGGGAGCCTGATGTGGGGCTCGATCCCAGGACCCTGGAATCATGACCTGAGCCAAAGGCAGACGCTTAACGATTGAGTCACCCAGGTGCCCCAGAAGTGGTTTTTAATAGTACTTTAAAACATTCATGAGATTAAATAATAGTCAAGTAGATTAATATATAAGTAATCTATCATGTTTCCAATACTGTGAGTGCAGTTGTTATAGAACTATAACAAAAAAGTAGCTTCACAAGAGGGGGGTAAAGATGGACCAAATTTAGGCTCATTTTAGCAAATTCCAGGAGATATATTATACTCCCACAATAAGAGAATAAAGTTGCATTCACAATGTAAAGAATACATTGTGCAATTAAACTAATACTGACAACATAAAATGTAGTTGACCTCTCAGGTTAACACGCAAGAGGATGGTCTTTTATCCGTTATAATATTAAGGGGGTAGAACTTTTGTTAATAAAGCAGGGGGCCTTCCTTTCCTGATAACCTCCTGATTTTTGGAAAGAAAACATGTGTACATTACATTTGTGTTTTTCTTCCTGTTTAGAGCCAAATGATGAGTTATGGATTGGCTTAAATGACATCAAGATTCAAATGTATTTTGAGTGGAGTGATGGGACCCCTGTTACATTTACTAAATGGCTTCGTGGGGAACCAAGCCATGAAAACAACAGGCAGGAAGACTGCGTTGTAATGAAAGGCAAGGTAAGGCAACTTTATTTGCTGATATCTAGCAAAAACCAGAGGGTATTTTTCTTCCTGCCTCACTCACTACATATCATCATTTTGATTGTTTCTAGTCTAGGTGATCTATCTATATTTCAATTGTTTAGCAAAGTCAAATTTTCAAGAGGACTAGAAAACCAACAGGCAGAAACTTTCAGTTCAAGGATGAAAGTAACCAGTAACCCATATTCATCTGGTTCCTGTGCTGGGTTCTCAGTGGCAATACATATAGCTTGACTTATCAAATGAGAGCTTTGGTTTTATTTTTGACTGGTCGCTCTGAGTAGATGTTCTTAGGTCTATTCTGGGTTCCACAATCTGCAGTCTGTGCTTGGAGAGCTACATTTGTTCTTTTAGGTTACATGGAGATGTCGCATATGAAAAGATGGCGTCCATGTCCTAAATATGACTTTAGTGACTGAAGAATATCATCAAATTATCTTTTGCTAATGGATAATGAACATGGTGGTTGAGAGGCTGGGTTTTGATGCATGGCTTATTCTCTCCAGAATAAGAGAGATGGCATGGCTTCTGAAACTTAATGGTTTCAGAAACTTAGTTTAACACTAAGTTTAACCTATTCAATCCTTATAGCCACCATTAAGCTGGGTACAATTGTATATAAGGCTATAAGGATTGAATAGGTTAATGCATATAACAAGCACAGTGACTGACCCAAACTTATTGTTCAGTAGGTATTAGCTGTTTCGTCATTGGGGTTGTTTTCATTGTGATTAATTGAAAGCTTAAGAAAAAAGTAGGTGTTAACTATTGAAAGGATAGGCAGAAGTGTGTCCTAGGAAGAGGAAACCAGGAAGCATCGTTCTTGTAAAGAACTGAAAGACAATATGGCAGAAAGCCCAGAGTTAGAGGTGGAAGGGTGGGTAGGAACACTAGCGAGTGTTGAGGTGGAGAAAATATGCCTTAGCCCAGGAGTGGCAAGAACAATTTTTCAATTTAGAAATATTACTCTGGCTGAAAGTTGAGTACCCGATGGCAGTGGGTTGCAACTGAGTGATAAATGAGGGATCAGAGGCAGACAATATAGAAAACATTTTTCAATAGTTACATGAGGGAGAGGAGAGGCCATTTTGATGTGAAGTCTCTCAGGAAGGGGGAACAGGTAGAATCTGAAGCTGAGCGGGAAGTAGAGCCTTAGATCCAGGAGGACAGTCATTAATATGAATTGGAAAAGGGAGGAGAGATGACTGGTTTTGGGGTGTTTTCAAGTTTGGTGTGTTGGGCAAGGGAGTTTTTCTGGATGGCTCTCTATGTACTTGGTTAACTTGAAAACAGACAACAGGAGAGGCTGCGTGTAGACCTTCTTTTGGCACCATCACTTCAAGGCTTACAAACTTTTTTAGTTTCTCTCTAGATTCCTCTACACAGTGGTGGGGACAGCCAAAATATAAAAACATATTGGGGGTCTGCAATCTCTTTTCACATCTTTGTAGCCAGAACCAAATTTGCTGTTGACTTATAAAATGTCAATTTACCTTTCCTTTCAGAGATGCCATTTTTCTCTTAAGAACTTTTGTTTTCCTTTCCTGAGGCCCAATTACAAGAAAACAGTCTCAGAGTCAAACAACTGATAATCAAATATTTTTTTCTCTTTGCTTTCTGCAGGATGGGTACTGGGCAGATCGGGCCTGTGAGCGACCTCTTGACTACATCTGTAAGATGAAATCTCAAACCCAACCCTCGGGAACAGTGGAGGTAGAACAAGGCTGCCAAAAAGTAAGTATTGAGCATGCACAGTAAGTTCAGACCTCAAAACATTATGTGATATCTTGGATTTATTTTTTGGCAGCAGAAGAGTTTTATTATTGTCATAGCCAAGTGTTCTAGCTGTTTAGATGTTCAACAGGTTCTTGTTAGGGTTTGGCATCATTGTTCTTCCTGAAGGCCTCTTTGAGTGTTCTCTACAGTTACCATGGGTGCATGTGGTCAGCAGACTTTCAGAACACCATGGGAATTCTCCCACCCCAATGGGGGAGCGAGAACAGAGAATAAAACCACACACGCAGGGAGCCTGGTGAGGGTAATGAGATTCAGGTGGGTTATGGTCATGGAAGAAAGGTCACTGAAGCCTTGGTAGTTGATGATCCATCCTATGGGTTGTAGAAACATTTCCAGTAGATAACCATTAAGTTTCAGATAGCAAACTATCCTGTCATTTTCTCCATTTATAAGGACGTCCTCCATTGAGGACGCTGCTTCTGATGGGGATTCCTCCCAATAGATCCCTGTAGCAAGAGGCGGGAGATCAAACTAGCTGGTGGTAGCCAGCAGTAACCAGTTACACTGAATAAAGCCATGCCATCTTAGTATCTATCAATCTTGCCTGTACCTCAGTACTACCTCCCTCTAGCTCTTATAATTCTTTGAGGTTGAAGTAAATGATCTCTTTGAAACAATTTCTAACAGCATAAAGAAACTACAAAATACAGGGTGTATGGTTATCATTTTCCTGTTTAACTGCTGAGTTGCTTGTCTTCCTCTTTTTTCCTTTCTCACTTCTCTTGGATAAAAATAAAGTAGAAACTAATTTTCTTTCCAAGCATGTCATGTTGTGATCAGATCATCCTGTCACAAACACCAGAAGGCTGAGAGTTCATGAAACATAATTTAGGACTGTCCAAATAAATCATCAAGAAACATCAAGCAGACACAAAATCAGAGACTGTTAGAGATATAGGGGATCTTTGTGATAATTGAAATCCCCCCTTTAATTTTTATGTTCTGGAAATTCAGCCCAGAGAAGCTATGACTTTCTTGGAGTGACAGAAGCAAGGCTAGAACCCCGGTCTCCTGACCCCACATCTCTACGCTGAAACTAATGTCCCTACCAGTGTATTTACATATTCTTTGCCTAATCATATGGATATACGAGTGAGTGTATATTATTGTAATTTTATATAAAGAAGAAATAATCCTTAAATGTTATTACTTCTATACAATTGATCAAAGTTTGTATACATGTAACAGTTTATATAGATAATAAGTTATATATATATAGTCTAGTAATTGTCATATCTACAATGTCTGATAAAATCCAGTTTAATCAGTAGGGTGGTAATAAGAAAAATAAGACAATATCCATAACTCTTTGTTGAGTGTAGTTACTATGCTGCCAATGATCTTAAAGGATAAATATTATGTTCCTAATTAGACAGAAGGGGAAACTGAAGCTCAGAGGCATTAAATAATTTGGCCAGTTTAAAAATACCTGCTGCTGCGTTCTACATGGAGCACTGGGTGTTATGCACAAACAATGAATCATGGAACACTACATCTAAAACTAATGATGTAATGTATGGGGATTAACATAACAATAAAAACATTTAAAAAAATAATAATAAATTAAAAAAAAGGAAAAAAAAACCCTGCTGCTGTAGGTTGCTTTCCTCAGAGGGCTGGGAAGACTCGAACAACAACCATAAAAATCCACTCACTAGCTAAGAAAAATAACAAGACTTTTTTTTCTTTCTTTTTTTTTCTGTCTGGGCCTGGGCACTCGGTGATGTGGGGACCTTTTTGAGAATTCAAAACCATAGGCGTGTTATAAAGATCTGGGGTTCAGTTTTCAATTCACTGCTACCTTTGTGGGATATCTGGGGCAAAGTGGTCCTGAGTCTCTGAGATTCCAGGATGTCTGACAGATGCAAATGTTAAGCTATTTTATACAGAAGCTCCCTTTTCCAGGCTGAGGAGGAATCCCATGGATGAGTTTGAAATCTGAAATTATAAAATCTACTACCAGGAGCTTTAGATGGTAGGATTAATGGATGTGACATTCACATGAATGTGTTTTTAAATAGAGAAATGAAAGGTGAACTTGGAACCCTGGACCAACGAACCAAGTTTTCTTATCGAGTGCTTTCATTATGATTCACTTCCAAATATTTTTAATTTCCATTAAGATTTCTTTGATCCTTGGGGCGCCTGGGTAGCTCAGTTGGTTGGGCGACTGCCTTCGGCTCAGGTCATGATCCTGGAGTCCCGGGATCGAGTCCCGCATCGGGCTCCCTGCTTGGCGGGGAGTCTGCTTCTCCCTCTGACCCTCCTCCCTCTCATGCTCTCTGTCTCTCATTCTCTCTCTCTCAAATAAATAAATAAAATCTTAAAAAAAAAAGATTTCTTTGATCCTTGAATTATTTAGGTGTGTGTGTGTGTGTGTGTGTGTGTGTGTGTGTGTGTGTTGATATTGGTTGGGGGTTTTGGTGGTAATGATGGGAATTTTGTTTTTCAGTTTCTAAATAATTAGAGACTATTGATTTCACTGCACTGTGGATCATAGAGAGTTTTGGTTGTTGTTACTTGTTGAGACTTTATGGTCTAGTTCATAGTTTTTGTAAATAATCAGTGTGCTTGAACAGAATGATCTTTGCTTGTTCAGTTCAGGGTCCATATATGTTGACTAGGAAAAAGCTTAACAATTTATATTATTTTAGATGTTCTATATTCCTAATATTTTGTCTGCTCGACAAAATATTCTCCTTGCGATTCTGTCAGTTTTTGTTTTATACACTTTCATCTGTGTCATATCTTCCTGATACATCAGACCTTTAATTATGTAATTACTTTCCTTATTCATATTGCTTTTTTTAACCATAAAGTCAATTTTAAATAATATTAATATTGCCACAGAAGCTATCTTTTGCTTGGTATTTCCCTAGAATCTCTTTTTCCAACTAATTGCTTTTAATTATTCTGTGTCATGGGATGGCTCTTGTAAATATATATCGACATTTTTATTTTTTATCTCATTTGAGGAACTCTGTCTTTTTATTGGCAAACTTGAGTTCAGACTTTTTTTTTGCATACTGATACTGATATATTTGCATTTGTTTCTACCATCTTATTTTGAATTTTATTTTATTTACTGTTCTGATTTCTTTTCTCTCTTGTTTGTCCTGTCCTGCATTCCACTGGTTCTATTGAATGTTTTGATCCCATTTTCCTCTTCTACAGGTTTAGAATAATACATTCCACTTTTTTTTTTTAATGGTTAACCTTGGGTTTTTTTTTTTTTTTTAAAGATTTAATTTATTTATTTGAGAGAGAGAGAGAGAGGTCACAAGCAGTGGGGAGGGGTAGAGGGAGAAGCAGGCTCCCTGCTGAACAGGGAGCCGGATGCGGGACTCAATCCCAGGGATCATAACCTGAGCTGAAGGCAGACGCTTCACCGACTGAGCCACCCAGGCGCCCTAACCTTAGGTTTTTAACATACAATACTGACTTGAAGTTAATCAGTATCTCTCTCTGCTTCCTGAACAAAATGAAGTTTATTATTCCACGTAAACATTAACATTTTTTTTTATCTTGGAAATAATGTTAGACTCAGAAGGAACTGAAAAAGAAAGTACAGAGAATTCCCTGTACCATATGCTCTCCTCCCTGCAGTGAGAACTTAGGTAACTAGAGTTCAAACAGCTATGTAATTGACATGGGTACAGTATATTAAGGAAACTATACATCTTGTTAATTTCCCATTCCTTAACTTCCCACCTGCAATTAGTTATCTCTGCTATTCATACAGACATTTAGACCTGGATTCACTAAGACATTTATTGGTTTCTTTGTTCAGTGTGACTTTCAGGCTGTTTATTCCTCCTGACTTAAAATTCCTTCTTGCCAAAGTAAATCTTTTCGTGATTTTTTTTCACTGGTGATATGGGAGTGGAACACTTTCTGTCTTTATCTGAAAATGTTCTGATCCTCCTCACCTTGCATAATAATTTAGGTAGGTTTTAAAATGCTAGGTTGACAGCAATTTTCAGACAGCGCTGTGTATATATCATTTCATTTTCTCCTGGCCTTTATTTTTTGCCATTGGAATTCCTGTTATTAGGCTAATTTTTCTTTTTTAAAAGTGGGTACTCTATTTTCTCTCTGATTGATTTTAAGATCTACTAATTGTCATTCTGCAGGCTTTTAGTACAATATGTTGAGATTTGGATTAATTTTCTTTTGTTTGGTACTCATTGTGTTTCATTTTTAGAATTTGTCTCTTTTAATTCTTGAAAATTATCAGTCATTAATTTTATTTGATGATTCTGAAACTTTTCTTAGGTTGATTTTCAACCTTTTCATTCTATTTTTTGTTTTCTCTCCATCTTTAAAAAATCTCTTTTCATATGTTCATCTCTCTGTTACATTCATTCAAATGACTAATCTTTCTGAAACCATATTTTCTATATTTAATCTGGCCCTTGAGTTTTTAACTTTATATTTTTCTTTTCTAGAAATTCTATTTTTTGTGTGTTCAGATCATCTTGTCCTTTGTTCAGAGCATTTTGATCTTTCATTATTGATTTTCCTTCTTTTGTCTTCTTTTGTTAAATCATCTGAAACTTGTTTTTTGTTTTTTAAAGATTTTATTCCTTTATTTAAGAGAATGAAAGAGAGTACATGTGGGATGCAGGGGCAGAGGGAGAAGAAAAGCAGACTCCCCACTGAGCAGGGAGCCTGATGTGGGACTCGATCCCAGGACTCTGAGATCATGACCCGGACTGAAGACAGATACTTAACTGACTAAGCCACCCAGGCACCCCTGAAACATGCTTATATATATATATTTTTTTTTTCCAGATTGTTTTATTATATTACATTGCTGTCTTTCCCTTAAAATGAGCCTCATGTGGTTTGTAATTTTTGGCTATGATTAGTCCCCATCCCATCCCCACCCTAAGCCTCAAATGTCATAGTCTTATGTGACCTGTGTTGTGGAAATATTTCTATTGTGTGGTTCTGCATTTTACTTTTCTGAGTGCCTAGGAATTTCTCCTTTTGTAGACAAGATTTATTTTATGTTTTTGGCTGTGGATTCTAGTACAATGTGAATAGTGTCAAATTGGAACCAGCACCCATCTCTGGCACAGAATCCATATTTATTTATTTATTTTATTTATTTTTTAAAGATTTTATTTATTTATTTGACAGAGAGAGAGAGACAGCGAGAGCAGGAACACAAGCAGGGGGAGTGGGAGAGGGAGAAGCAGGCTTCCCACCGAGCAGGGAGCCTGATGCGGGGCTCAATCCCAGGACCCTGGTATCATGACCTGAGCTGAAGGCAGACGCTTAACAACTGAGCCACCCAGGAGCCCCCAGTATTTATTTTTAACAGAGGATTTTTTTTTCCCCTGCACCTAGAACCCCAGGCAGATGACAAGAATCTGCTATTGTCTGGTTTTGTGAATAGAGTTTTCTCAGTCTCCTTTCCCATAGGGGCTCCCCTTAGTGGGTATCATCTTTTTTTAAAAAAAGGATTTATTTATTTATTTGAGAGAGAGAGAGAGAGAGTGAGCATGAGCAGGGGGAGGGGCAGAGAGAGAGAGAGAATCCTGAAGCCAACTCCCCAGTGAGCATGGAGCCTGACGTGGGGCTTGATCCCAGGACCCTGAGATCATGACCTGAGCTGAAATCAGGAGTCAGCCGCTTATCTGACTGAGCCACTCTGGCGCCGCAATGGGGATCATCTTTATGTAAGGACTTCAGTTCCATTTCCCTGCCTCAAGTGGGCTGATGGACAAATACCCTCATTTGTGTGGACATTAGTACCCCTTCCTCTAGAGCCTAGTATCCTAGTCTAGGTCTGGTACATAATGGGGCAACGATAGTCTTGGCTTGAGCATTTCCCATTCTAGAGTTTTAGTTTTCTATATGTTTTTGGTATCTGAAGATTTCCTCAAATATGGATTTTTTGTTTATTGTTATGTTTTTATTTAGCATTTCCATGTGTTTGAAGTATGGGAGAGAAACCATGCCGAATCACGTTGCCAGGAGTTTGATAAGTATTGTCCTAGGACCAGGTGACACAGCTTTATAGTCACTACCTACTTTTGGCTTCAGTAGGAAACTAGGTCTGCTACTCGGCAAACTATTTCCTGTGGTTCCCTATTCTAATACGGAAATCTTAGCCATTCTGTTCAGGTTCCTCAGTATGCATTTCACAAATCACTTTTGTTGGAAAATGTATCAGGAGGGGAGAGAATGAATGCCCTGACCCATTTTGTGTCATAAGAGGAACAATGTACTACTGTTTTCTTTATTCATATAAATATTTTTCATTGCATTTCAAATTTTCCGTATTTGGGTTCTCTACATACTTCTGTGATTTATAAATGTATGTTTCATGATATGTGTCATGATAGTGCAATTATTAAAATAATATTATTTAATTAATATCCCTGATAATCTGCTTGATAACATTAATAGGGCTGGAAAAGACATGGCTTCTACTGCTATTTGATTGGACACACACTTTCAACATTTATGGAAGCAAATCAAACCTGTATAAATGAGAAGGCTTACTTAACAACTGTTGAAGACAGGTATGTAACTATTTTAATTTTATTTGAATGTATGTCAAATAATGAAATGTTTTCAGAGAAACCTAAATATCAACACACTCTAAATTTCTGTAAATTTCTCTAAATTCTATAAATCAACATGCTCTAAATTTCTGTACATCTTGAGGTATGGCTTGCAAAAGTAGGAGCATTAAAAATCATATCCTTATTTGGATTCTTCATTGCAGCACTATAAAATATTTTGTTCCTTTTAGAACTATAAAGCAATATTCAGAACAGTTCATTAATATTCTAGTAAATATAGTTTGTGGATCTGACTTTTTTTCTGATCTAGTATATATCAAATTTTTTCAAGAAGGGAAACTAAGTAAAATTTATTAGTTCAAAAATGCCGCTTTCTATCTTTACCAGTATCTCCACCAAAAAATGTGGTAGAGAGATTTACTGAATATTTTGTTATTCCTTTACATTATTCTGGGTTTTTGTTGCTGTTGTTTGTTTTTGTTTTTGTTTCCTTTTTTTTTTTTTTTTGCTTTGCTAGGTTTGTTAGACTGATAGGTCCAGAAAAATCAAAATCAAATAGACATAGAGCATTTTATATAACTTTTTGACTTCTAGAGTCCCAACCATCTTTGAGGTTTTAGTTTTTATTTATTTTTCCCTTAATCTTTGCAAAGCACTGGATTAGGCATGGAATAAACTTAAAAGAAATTTTAAAATGTGCATTTGACTTGTAATAAAAAGGTAAAAAGGTATCTAGTTTTAATACAATAAGTTATATCTATTGGCCTTTCAAGGCATACCCAATAAAATGTAAAGAATGCTATTGATATGAAAAAATCCTTTGATAAAACCAAAAAAAGGAAGATATAGAATTTGTATAGTCTTTGTAAAAGAGCTTATAGTTCAACCATATCCTTTTTCATGTACAATTAAATGTCTAATATATTGTAGCACACATATAATGCTAATGCCTGAAAATCTGAACGTAGATAATTTTTATCTTATGACAAGATGAACTTTACATCTTTAAGTACTATGGGAACATATTCTTAGCTGCCCTGTAATTGATCTTTTGGTTTATTGGAGCAGAGATTTCCCTACATTTTATATTTTAGGTTTGTTTTGCTTTGTGTTTTCTTGATATTTATATTCAGGAGCTCACTAACTCTGTGGTTAAATTTGTTTCTAGACATTTGAGAAAAATTGAGTTTAGGACTTTTAAATTTTTTTGTTTGTTCCATTTAGGGAATGAAATTACTCAGATTAGGGTCATATAAATGTTCTGTTATGGTAACCTCTACATTTCCCTCTCTGCTCTCTCTGGAGTCATCTACCTCTCTTTGTTCCTGGAAACTTTGAGTCTCACTTTTTTTTTTTTGCTCCAAAGAAAGATTTTTGCCTACATTTGCTGCCTTATTGTGTAATGTTTGTCTGTGAAGACAAACTTTGGTTGCTTTACTAACCAAACTGTGTCATTACCAGATTATGCCAAATCCATGGATGAGATCCAAAGGGACAGAAAATGTGGGACTCTGCTCCCAGTTCTTTCTAGAGATTAAATCTCTGCCTCTCTATTTTTCTCAATAATTTTCTCTTCTGTTTCAGACCTGAGCTGAGAGAATAAAATTGAGGGGGAAATCTGCACAGATTTTTCTATCTGTATCATCCTTGATAATGTTATGACCTTACGATTTACTTAACAAGAACTGTGTAGAGCATTTGAAATATTTGGAAAGTGGTCTAATTTTTTAAACAATGTCTTTTGAAATGCTGTAGTTTTCTCCTTTGCCATTTCAGAATTCTTTTACATTTTGAGGAAGGGCAGCGGGGCTGGTGAGGAATAGAGAGAAATGGTTTGAGTATATTTGAATGATTTTATTCAGTAGGCTCTTTGGTATTTCCCCCTCGTTTCCTTAGTAGAAATTCGCGTAATTTAAATGACCTATCCACATAACACAAGATGTTTGGATTACCAACTAAATCATAACTCAAACATACAACTGAGATACCTTTCATGTGGCTAATTGGAAAAATTCACATTTCTAAAATTTAGTTTTTTTTTCTTAAGATATGAACAAGCCTTTCTGACTAGTTTGGTTGGATTGAGGCCTGAAAGATATTTTTGGATAGGACTTTCAGATGTGCAAAACAAAGGGACCTTTCAGTGGACCATTGAGGAAAAAGTTCAGTTCACCCACTGGAATTCAGATATGCCAGGTATGTGCAGTGCTTGGGGCTGAGGTTTTCATTCACCCTGCAAGTCCATTATCCTTCCATGTACCTTTCCAGATAGATTGTGTGCATTAATTATGTTCTCAGCATTTTATATTTCATTCTCTCTCTCTCTCTTTTTTAATTTTCTAATTAGTTCACATTGGTCTGAGAAAACAGGGAAGATAAAACTACTCATTGTCTGCTACTACTCTGCTTGAAAAATATTTAGGAAATCCTAAATGGCCACAGATATTCCAAGTGGTTAGCTTATTTCTGTATACTTAAAATTATATGAAAGAGATTTAAAACTTTCGAGTGCAATGATGAATGGAACTCTTAGTGGGCTTCTGTGGTGGGACAAGGAGTCGTGTGCGGTTCCACATGGAACGCATTATTCCACTGTCTTGTATGTACCGCCTTGTTTAGGCTTTTATATATCCTGGATTTTATTTTATCCTTATAAGAAACCTGCCAGGTAAGTTGAAGTACCTTCATTTTAAAGATGTGGAAGCTAGAACTCAGAAAATGTATGTGACTAGAAATGCTCCAAGCGTGGATTTAGGCTAGTCCATGTGATTCCCAAATCTGTGTCACTTGCCCAAACACCACCGTACCTCCCTATTAGTTTAAATTTGCCTTCCCTAGGAAATAGTTCTGGAAATAGCCTCTGAAATATGGTTTACCTTCTTTATACACTGATATCACAGCATATGACATTATTCAGTGTGACACCATCTGGAAATTTTATACCCTTTATAGCAAATATTTTGTTGTGTCTTCGCTAAAAGCTAAAGCAAGACCTTTAGCTCAAGTGCATGAATTTACTACTTGGCCTCATAAGTCTTAATCTTCAGAAGTCCTTTTAATTTGTATTCTCAAATTATGGACAAATAAGGAAAATAGATAATAATTTGGATAGTGTGATTCTTGGTGAATTATTGAATGTTCTGAAAGGCAGTACGATCTCAGTTTATTTTAAAATTAACTGGGCAGGATATTAAGAACTGAGTATACACTTTTTTTTTTTTTTAAACATCAGTAGGAGGGGTAATTCTTACTCTCTAGGCCAAACTCCTTATTTTTACTGGTGTTGCTCATTCAGCAGTGGGACTCTGAGAGATTAATCTTGGAATGTCCTTAGGGAATAAAAATGGATGAAATCAAAGCCATAGAGGATCAGAGATCTTAGAGAAAATGTTTTGGAAAAGATGTACCTCCCCAGAACTTTGAGAGTTACCTCTAAACACTTAATGTCCATTAAGAGAATAATAATAAAAGATGATCTCATTCTAGCAGCAAAGACTCCTGCTGTTTTCAAAGTTCCATCTTAATGAATTACTATTAGGAAATAATCACAACTGTAAAACAGATTTATAAATTATTAAGCTGACTTTAGTCCTCATTTTATGTACCTTTTTATCCACTCAAGCTGGCCCTCATGACAGCTCTGTAAGGTAGGTAGTGATACTTGCATTTTAAGGTGAGGAAACAAGTCCAAGGTAGTTGCATATTTAATGAATAACTAAAATCTCTACCTCAGTTGTATTTCATTTTGGAGTGTGTGAAGAACTTCTGTTCTGAGAGACCTACAAGGGCCCTGTGGGGGGAAAAATGGCTTTTAAAAAAATTAAACCACTATTTTTGCCACTATGGTTAACTTTATCATACTAAAATTATTATATTGTTAAATATCTATATGGGGGACACCCTGACAGATGTCAGAAATACAAAATGTTATCAAAACCCTGACACAGGGGATCAAAATTCTGATAGGGATGTAGGCCACACAAATAAAAGGTAAGTAACAGTTCAGAATAGCATAAATGAATTGCCAAATGCTGCCGGATTTCTCCTCTGTATTTTCTCTTCACATGCAGACTTTTTTTTTTAAGAGAAAGATTTTATTTATTTATTTGTCGGAGAGAGAGAAAGAGAGCACAAGCAGGGGTAGTGGCAGGCAGAGGGAGAGGGAGAAGCAGACTCCCCACTGAGCAGGAACCCGATGTGGGACTCCATCCCAGGACCCTGGGATCATTACCGGAGCTGAAGGCAGACCTTTAGCCAACTGAGCCACCCAGGCGCCCCTCTTCACACTCAGACTTTACCATGTAGTTTCACAGTCTGGTTTGTCCCGTCTTCTGGGAACATGATCAGCCATCAGTAGCACCTGTTAAGTGAATTCTACTTTACGTATTTAATACAGGGCGGAAAACAGGATGCGTTGCCATGAGAACTGGAGTTGCAGGGGGCTTGTGGGATGTTTTGAGATGTGAAGAAAAAGCAAAATTTGTGTGCAAACACTGGGCAGAAGGAGTCACTCGCCCGCCGGAGCCCACGACAACTCCCGAACCCAAATGTCCAGAGGATTGGGGCACCAGCAGTAAAACAAGCTTGTGTTTCAAGGTGAGTATCGACTGCTAAGCTAATGAAGAATGTGGAATATGTTTCGGCCTAAAGAATCACGTGAGGAATTAAAACAGAACCCAAAACCACGGTGCTCAGGCTCAACCAGTAGAAATTCTAATTTTATTAATCTGGAAGGGGAGCCGGGTTTCAGTTTTTGAAAAAGCTCTCCTTGGATGCATGCTAATGACCAACTGCATTTCGACCCACAGACACTCACGGAAGCTTTCTTCACACGCTTTGCCTTCATCACCCTCCCTCTGTCTCTCCTCTCTCCCAAGCTTCCTTGCCTTAGTCTGAGCTCCCACCTCTTTGCATCTTAATGAAACTTTCTGGTTCCCCTCCTGCTCTCCCACTGCATTTCATTTTGCCCTGTTCTTAGAGCCCAAGGGCTTAGGTAAGTGCATGATCATGCCACATAGCATCCTAGAGGTAATGCTCCATTGTTCTAATTTAACCCCTGGTTGTTACGCCTGCTGGGAGAGTGAGGCTTGGCTAGGGATGGGCACTTGGCTGTTCTGGGCCCTTTAAATGATAATTTGATATTCTGCTATCATTTTATCCATTCCAAGGTCACACCATCCATTTTCTCCTTAGGGAGTCAAGTTGACCAAAACAAATGAGACAAAAACCTCAATGAATTATGCATTGGGGTGTTTTTTTCACTCTTGTAAGGCATATCCTTTCTTGAGAAGGTTAGATTTAGTCATATACAGAAATGTGCTTATCTACTGCTTGATGATACTCTTCTCTAGTGTCCCACTCTCAGGACCTCTTTTATTCAGTCCCTTTGGTGGCATATGGCCATGGCATGCCTTGTAAGATAGGGAAGGTTGAGGGAAAACTTGAATTACTAACATGTATCAGAATGAGGGTATTTAGTCTTCTGTAACTCAAGGGGTGTGGCTAGTTGGGTTAGTCACTCCCACTACTAGCCATAGAGATAGCTAACCTGTTCAATTCTGATTAGCCAGTCTGGGCTAAACACATAATTTACCTAGAAGGGAATGTATAGGGCCAAGACAGGAGAGGCTTTTGTAAATGGGTTAATTGAGGATGAACACAAAGCAAATCAGGTGTTTATTGTGACATCAGGAAACTTTGGAATTAACTACACAAAGACCAGTTTCATCCTGTACACAGCCATTCCCCCGAGGGTGGTAGGCTGTGGAGATTTGTTGCAGGATTTTGAGAGAAGTGGCAGAATTCTCCAGAGCTGGGAAGTGAACAGGGTTCTGGTAGAGATGTTATCCAGGTGGATATTTCAACAAATCGGAATATGTGCTTCACTAGAAATTTATATAGTTTTAGAGGTGCTTAGGTAGGGTTTGTTTGGAAATACGTGGACCATCCTTGTACATATTAAGATAGGGAAGTTATTAATAAAATTTAGGTGATAGTAAATTTATTTAAGAAAATAAAATCTTACATCACAGTCAAGCAGGTTGAGGCTCACGGGAGTCTTGGGAGTTACTGATGTGGAAACTTGCTCAAGGTACTTTTGTCTAGATGGCTTAAGTTAAGGTCAAGGTGAAGATTGCCTTGGGTTGCTTGGTGACAGCTGGGCAGCCATAGTCCGTTGGGAGCAAATCCCATTTCCCACAAGCTTGTGATGGTGGGGACCATGACTCATGAGAAACAATCAATGAAAATTACAAAAGTTGGTGGATACAATGGACTCCTATACTATTTGCATACAGATAGGTATTTCCCAGTCTGGGATTTCATTTCACTGCAGACCTCTGGATAATATGAGATATTCCCTAATTTATATAATCTATTAAATTTAGTTCAGTTTATAACTTTTTTAAATGCTTTGCCAAATAAGTGTCTTTTGTGGCATGTGCTCCAATAGTTGTTAAAATATGCAACTCTAAGGAAAAAAGACAAGACCTAAAGGACACCAACAACAAAGTATTGAAAGACTGCCAGGTTATTCATTGTTTAAGCTAAATAGGATAACAAACTGTGGCATAATTTTTGTTTGCTTGGAAGTTTTTTCCTTATTTATGTTTACTTTCTCTGTATCAAAAGTTTTTTGGGGCCTCTGGCTAGCTCAGTCAGTTAAGTGTCTGGCTCCTGATCTCAGATCAGGTGGAACCTGCTTGAGAGTCTCTCTCTTCCTCTCCCTCTGCCCCTCCCCTCCCCCTGCTTGCACATGCTCTCTCTTTCTAAAAATAAATAAATTAATTAAATAAATAAAGTTCTTCTTTCTTTCCCATCTCAGTGCTACTTTTCACTTTAACCAAAAACTAACCCATATGCCTGAAACTTCTAAGATTTTAATCTAATTTCTCCTTTGCTATAAAATGCTTTTATTTTCTAAGGTTTTCTCAACAAAATATAATCCCATACCTTTTGTTACCCAAATACTCCTAAATTGATTTTCAACCAAATTGCTTTGCACCATAGCAGTGTCTTACTTTCTATTGAACGAAATCTCATCAAAAGTAAATAATTATTTCTCTTGATTTGATAAGCAATCGAGTATAAAATAACTTCTGAAACTATATCATCTTTAGCTGTTTGCAAAAGGAAAACATGAGAAGAAAACCTGGTTTGAATCTCGAGATTTTTGTAAAGCTCTGGGCGGTGACCTAGCTAGTATCAATAATAAAGAAGAACAGCAAGCAATATGGCGATTAATAGCGTAAGTGTCTTTTCTGTATAATACTCCTTTCTTTTACCTATTTGGTGCTAATGATGTTGAGAAAATTCTTGTATTTCTGAAATTGTTGGCTCAAAATGCTACTTTAAGTGCCTATATTATATTCCAAAACCATAGGAACTTTTTGTCTGGTTTCACTTCCAAATGCTTTCATTTTATAGGTATAAATCCTGTGATGAATTGCTCTATAAAAGTACAAGACACTCAATACATGTTATTAAATGAATAGATGAATTACTATCTTTCGGTGCTTTATAATTATGTATTCTCAAACGGGGTCTTGTTTTCAGTATATTTATGGGCTATACCAAAATGCAATTGCATAATGCTTATATTTAGTCATTGAATCTCATTACCTGGTTTGGAAGATAACTTTCAAATTTGATTAGCTCTTATAGGTAACCAGACTTGTTTCATCCAATAGTATAAGCTCTCTTTATGTCTTGTAAATTGCAGGGCTAGCGGAAGCTATCATGAACTGTTTTGGTTGGGATTGACATATGGAAGTCCTTCAGAGGGCTTTACTTGGAGTGATGGTTCTCCTGTGAGTAATTTGATTTAATACATCATTTTCTTGCTTTATCCTCTATTTATTTTGATGTTATCCTTGGGCTTAATCCAAATTTTTGGTAAAACAGGTTATTATGATAGCTAGAAACATTTTTCTAGGCAAAAGTCAGTGTTATTTTGGATCATTAATCTGCTCCTGCCCTGATAGAGTTCTCCTGTTCACCCAAGGTATAAGCACGGTGGAATGGTGGACTGGATGAAAAAAAATTAGAAAACTCATTTCACTAGTTTAAATAAAATAATTTTTTCATTCTATCATGCAAAATTGGTGTGTAAGTAGTTAAACTTCTTAAAAATTGAGTCCTAAACAAGTGTTGGCGAGGATGTGGAGAAAATGGAACCCTTGTGCACTGTTGGTGGGAATGCAAACTGATGCAGCCACTGTGGAAAACAGTATGGAAGTTCCTCAAAAAGTTAAAAATAGAAGTACCCTATGCCCCAGCAATTGCACTACTGGGTATTTACCCCCCAAATACAAAAACACTAATTCAAATGGATACATGCACCCCTATGTTTATTGCAGCATTATTTACAATAGCTAAACTATGGAAGCAGCCCAAGTGTCCATTGATAGATGAATGAGTAAAGAAGATGTGGTGTGCGTATATATCTATATACAATGGAATACTACTCAGCCCTAAAAAAGAATGAAATCTTGCATTTATAACAACATGGATGGAGCTAGAGAGGTAATGCTAGGTGAAATAAGTCAGTCAGAGAAAGACAAATACCGTATGATTGCACTCGTATGTGAAATTTAAGAAACAAAACAAACAAGAGAAGGAAAAAAAGAGAGAGAAACAAAAACCAAGAAACAGACTCTTAACTATGGAGAACAAACTAGTGGTCACCAGAGGGAAGGTGGGTGAGGGGATGGGTGAAATAGGGGAAGGGGATGAAGAGCACACTTACTGCAATGAGCCCTGAGTAATGTGTAGAACTGTTGAATCACTATATTGTACATGTGAAACTAATATAACACTGTATGTTAACTATACTGGAATTAAAATTTAAAACTTAATATAAAAATTGAGTGTTTTGTAGCTTCTTATAGATCAGGAGATCTGGAAACAACTTTCGAGAATCCACTGGTAACCACTGGGCCTTGTCAGCCTTCCCCATTCTCAGGAATGGAGAAGTGAGAGGCTCAGGGACATGCTGGCAACATTTAGTGGTCTAGTCATCCCAGGAAGTGATTTGATGTAATTTCAGTTCTACCTCCTCTTATAAACAATCAGCAGCTTTTCAAGGCACTTGAGTAAACTGATTTATTTGATAGCTCCATTGACACTTGGATTTCATATTGCTATTTCTGCAAAATGCTTTGTCTAAAACTCTGTTGGCTCTAATTTCCATACTGAAAACTGCAAAGGGGACCTGAACCCATTGATTTCCTCTGTTAATTTAGGTGAAGTGTGGTAGCTTTGTTAGCAGTATTTTGTAAGTCTTTTTTCTTTTATAAGAAGAACTAATTATACTTCTCTATCCTACCTTTCTAATGAAGAGAAAGTTTCCAACATCACACTGAAACACGAATTAATTAATTAATTAATTAATTCTTAATTCCTTAAGAATTAGGGATATTAGAGATTGAGGAATTCCCAATACTGAGAAGTGGGGCTTTTTTTTTTTTTTTTTTATTGCTTTTTTCCAAGTTTTACCTATATATGAATACCACTTTTGTGGCCCTGAATCTATTCTATCAATAAGACCAAAGAAGATTTTATAATCATTAATAGCATATTCTCTTCAACTTTGAAAGTTTCCATGTAATTAATGAAAGCTATTTCTTTCCCACCCATTTTCATAAACCTTGCTTTCAAAACCAAGTTATTGCAAAGAAAAGTAAATAGATTTTAAAAAAAATGTTAATATACCTTTCCTTTCTTATTGGATAAACGATAGGAAATGGCCTGATATAAATGATTAACAGTTGCAATGTAATGTTTCGGACATAGGTTTCATATGAAAATTGGGCTTATGGAGAACCCAACAATTATCAAAATGTCGAATACTGTGGTGAATTGAAAGGTGACTCTGGTATGTCCTGGAATGATATTAACTGTGAACATCTCAACAACTGGATTTGCCAAATACAAAAAGGTATGGTAACCTGTCCTTTATTTTATCTTACATTGGAGAACGAACCTCCTGATATCCCAATATTTTCCCTTTATGAGCAGAACCAAACAAACAAAATCACAAAATAAGGGAACTGGCAGGGGACATCGTTCACAGGATAAGAATGAAGTCACTGAGCACAGATAAATGTTCCAAAGGAACAGAAGATCAAAAGGCCACCCGGGAATCCTGGACAAGAGTCACGTCCTCTGAAATAGTTCCCACAAGCTGTGATTCTGGCTCAGATTCTATAGGGGTGGGAGTGGGTGGGTAGTCTCCTCTGTGAGCAGAGTAATGCAAATGCCATTTCCTTTTTGAAATATTTACCCTCTGACTTATGTTAGCCATCCAAAAGGTGAAAGTTTCCCAAATATTCTAAAGACGGATTTCTTAAATATTTTCAGCACAAAGAACAAGCACCATTTTGAGGCACCTGGTGCTGTTATACCTACCGTGTTATTGGGGTGGTCAAAAAAATATCACCGCATGCTGTCAGTCATGATCTGGGACTCAGAAAGTTCCACAAATCCAAGTCAGGCATTGAGGTCAGAGGATCCCGGTTCTTATATTAAGATAAAGGAATAAATAGATCTTCCCTTGAACCACAATAGACATAATCTTCCTCCTTCGTAAACAGTCAAGTGGAACCACATTGCCCTCTGCTGTTGGGGACCTTGGCTACCGTCCCAGCTCCACTACTAGAGACACTTGCTCTCTCACCGTCTGTCTGAGTATTTTCCGCACTTCCGCATAGATTAGTGTTTCACAGTTTTCAGAATGGAGGACTAAATAGTGGCCAGTTTTTCTTTAGAGGTTTCCTAGCTACCAATGACTAGTTTTTTATGTGTTGTTGGTAGCTCTATTCTTACAGATGTTAACTACATGAAGCCAAGCTGGGGAACCTGAGTCCTTTTATCAGGTTCCAGCAAAGTCCAGATAGATCATTAACTACTTGGAAAGAAAAATATTTCATTCACCTTTTAGCAAAACATACATTTAATAAAAATAAGATTCTTTGAAGAAAACATTTTATAAATAAATAATTCATCTTCAATGGTTTCTGATAATGAAATTTTAAGTAATTTCACAGCTAATTTTAAGATGCATAACTGTCAACCCAACATCTATTGAGCACCTTCTGCATACCAACAGCACATGTATTTTACCCTACCTCTCTACATAGACTACTAACTCCTTTTAGCAGTTGACAGAATTGAAGGTAGGCAACTCCCACTCTGAGATCTGAACCTAGGCTTTCTGAATCCAAAACTTGGTTCCTTTCTTTCCTTTCCATGACACCATTTGTTGGACCTGAAAAGTGTCTTCCAATTTCTGGTGGCTATGACTTACCTAATTCTGCTGTCCTTCCTTCTCCAACTCTACGACATTATGGGAGCACTGGGGCGTGGGAGAGAGGGAGAGAAGGAGAAAGAGAGAACAGTTATGTTTTTAGCTATTTTGACCCAGGAAAATAGTAAAATTAGAAGGATATGTGATTGCAGAAGTTCAAGCACACTTTATAATCTGATTTCCTTTTGTTTTCCAGGACAAACACCAAAACCTGAGCCAACACCAGCTCCTCAAGACAGTAGGTGTTTCCTTACTTTGTGATTTCCATATTGATAGCCTTTTTTATCTTTCTTTTCTCTATGAAACATACTTAATCTAGGAAGAACAGAGTTCTCAATATCTTTGAGAATCTTGTGGATCTTTTCCTCTAGACAGATGCTTACATGCCAAACACAAGGCATTTTAATGCAATGTCTCAAGGGCTCTTGAATCATATCCAAGGGCCCAGATCTCCTCTTTAGTACTGTATTGGTTTCCAGTGGTTGCTGTCACAAATTACCACAAACTCAGTGCCTTAAAGCAATGTACACTTATTCAGAAATATGAACTCAGTTTCACTGGGCCAAAATTGGCAGGACTGTGCTTCCTTCAGAGGCTCTAAGGGAGAATCTGATTCCTTGACTTTATTAACTTCTAGAACTGCATTCCTTGCATTTGTTAGTTCGTGGCCCCATTCTCCATCTTGAAAAACCAGCAGTGTAGCCTCTTGCTTCATCTATCACATTGCATTCTTCTTCTGTAGTCAGATCTCCCTCTTTAAGGATACTTGTGGTTACATTAGGGCCCACCAGATAATCCAGGATCATCTCTCCATCTCAAGACCCTTAAATTAATCACTTGTACAAAGTGCCTCTTTCTATATAAGGTAACATTTATGGATTCCAGAGATTGGGACATGGATATCTTTGGGGGCTCTGATTCAGCCTGCAATAGCACAAAACTGTAGAGCACCGTGGTTTGGAAAAAGGCTTAGGAGCCCACCTGGTGTGTGAATTCCTTGGTTCTCCAGTTATACACTGAAGCACCCAAGTCCATCTGTTACAAGCTCTTTGTTATATTGAGATGAAAGCTGATTTCTCCCAGCTTCCACTTCTTGAACTCAGAACATCAAGGGTGCAGGTATGTAATTCCTGACAGCTCTGCGATCCTATTGATAAAAGTAACATTGAGACTTCTTTTACCCAATTACCATACTTGGAACTTAATTGAAGAGAAAAAGTTCCAGAGTTGGTGCAAAGTGGATATCTGGCCTTAGGTAATTCAGTCTGTGTTTGGCATAAACATCCTGCTTACTCTGGGCTCTCAGAGTTGCAGATACCACTGATAAAGCTACTCTGTCCTTTTCACTCTTGTGTACCACACACAGACCAGATTCTTGAATTTGTCTAAGTAAAATTCATCACCTGTTTTTCATTAATTTTTCAGATCCACCAGTCACTGAAGATGGGTGGGTGATTTACAAAGACTACCAGTATTATTTTAGCAAAGAGAAGGAAACCATGGACAATGCCCGAGAATTTTGCAAGAGGAACTTTGGTGATCTTGTTTCTATTCAAAGTGAAAGTAAAAAGAAGTTTCTATGGAAATATGTAAGAATTTGATTCATTGAAGAATGAAACAGTGACGTGATAAAAAAAGATAATGTCTACTATTGGTACCCCATGGTGCAGTTTCAAATTATGGGCTGAATTTGAATATTCTAAGGTCATGAGAAAAATGTCAATGCCAGAGGAGAGGCGGGTGGTAGCCATAACAGAAATGAGTGACCTGATTGCTTAAATATTCAGTGCAGAATCATAGAATCCAGAAAGTTTTTAGTCGAGTCTTTTTGTGAGGACCCAGACATGATGGCTTTGAGTTCACTAATTTGATTTTCAAAGATCATAATTCTTAGCTAGTTGTTATATATCAATCCTGGATTTTTGTGTATATAGTGTAGGTTGGTTATTTAAAAATCTATCTTAGTTGGACCAAATTGTTGGTTAAAAGTACAGCTTGACTATTCACATAAACATCTTCTTGGTTGTACCAAAATTGTCACATTACAGTAAGAGCATAGTTTATTCTTTCCAAAGGTACTTGGCTTAGTATTTCTTTTTCAAAATCTTCATTGCATCCTTTTGCTTACCAGAAGAGAGGTAAGAGGGACAGCAGAAAAAATAAGGTGAACATAATGGAAGCATAAATATTCATTTGCTTACAAAGGTAGTAAAGTGTAGTCTGACTTATCTTCATATTTGTGGATATATTTTGGTTTGAAATTTTTAGGATATTTCCTAATATTGCACAAATATACATGTGTATGAAGTCTTTCCTTAGAAGCAAAATACCAAATGGTTACTTTGTTTTAAAGAATATCTTCAACAACCTAATTACTATAGGCATTTGGTATTATAGAGAATGATTTAAGGTATTTGTTTTATAAATTCAGGTTCTTATATGGTTTGCATATTTTTTCTTCTTTTAAATTTATTATTATTATTATTTTTAAAGATTTTATTTACTTATTCATAAGAGACAGAGAGAGAGAGGCAGAGGGAGAAGTAGGCTCCCCACTGAGCAGAGAGCCCGATGCGGTACTAGATCCCAGGACCTTGGGATCATGACCTGAGCCGAAAGGAGACACTTAACCATCTGAGCCACCCAGGCACCCTTTTTTTTTTAAAAGCATATTTATTTAAGTAATTTTTACATCCAACGTGGGGCTTGAATTCACAACCCCAAAATCAAGAGTCGCATGCTCCTCTGACTCAGCCAGCCAAGCACCCCAATATTTTTCTTATTATTTCTATGAAAAACATCACTTTGAATGTACAACAAAATTTCTACATGAATCCCTCCTTAGAAAAAGTCCTAAATGGGCTGCCTCATTAATAATTAGGTTTTGTTTAAGAATTTTCTTATTATAGGAGCACCTGGGTGGCTCAGTTGGTTGAGCGTCAACTCTTGGTTTTCGGCACAGGTCATAATCTTGGGGTCCTGAGATCGAGCCCCACATTGGGCTCTGCACTCAGCATGGAGTCTGCTTGAGATTCTCTCTCTCCCTCTCCCTCTGCCCCTTTCCCTGCTCATGCTCTGTATTTCAAATATATATATAAATCTTTTTTTAAAAAAAAAGAATTTTCTTACTATATAAGTATGGATTGACCTATATGTAAACTTCCATCTTTTAGGTAAACAGGAATGATGCACAGCCAGCATATTTTATTGGCTTACTGATCAGCTTGGATAAAAAGTTTATGTAAGTACATCAAAATGAAACAACTGTGCTTCAGAGAGTGATCTGATAAACATCTAAGAGTTATTTTGAGACTTTTGTTTCGCTGAATACATTTTTAAAAATCCTACTGAGTTCTCAATCTAAGAAGCATCTTCAAAAAACAAAAAGAATTTTTAAAAATCCTCTTAAATGTTTTCAACCTCATAATTCTCAAACAAACAACTCAAAGTCTGATTTAATCTTGCAAAACTCGACCTATCTTTGTTTTCGGGTATTATCACATGTTAGCCAGTGATCTACTAAGAAGATATACATATATGAATACTGAACTTATTTTGAATATTATGATTCCCATTTGGACCATCCTTGGTGCACAGAATTAAAGGGTCCTTTTATGTTGCCCCACTTACTGTTTTCACAGCGCTACTTTGAAATACCCTTTCAACTGCCTGAAATGCTTTCCCTTCAAAGGAATGACTGTACTGTTTTCCATCAGATACAGGGGCCAGGAAAAGCTGTGGGAGGGAGGAAATTAGTACATTTTTGGGGTTTCTTTCCTCGTTCATTAATACACATGTTCTCCTAAGTTTGAAGAGCAGATATGTCTTCCTGGCTCATGCACAGATGTTTTAGCCGCATATGTTCTGCTTGACCATTAATGCCATTTTTGAGCAAGAGAGACCCAAAACTCACACTCATTATTTTTAAAGATCAGAAATGCTTGATGCTTCTTTGGACAAGCACCCATTTTAATCATCTCTAAAATAAGAGGGTCAGTCACATTTGATGATTTCTTGCTGTCTTTCCAGCTAACAATCTCTGAATTTCCATAACTTATGAAAATAAGCATTGGCCCACATACCTTAGGACAAACCTGGAATAAACATGGAAATCAGAGTATGGGCTTAATGAGAAACTCTGAATTCTTGGTCTCTCTCTATGGGTGGTTTTGTTTTGTGGGAATCATGCCTACTAAGTACTCTCAGAGGCTGTTTGCTTCTGGCCCACTTCCAGAGAAACCGGGATCTCCTTGACCTCTCTCCCTTCAAGACTAAAGGTAGCTTCTTCCAGAGAGGGAGAAGAAGACAGACAAGCCAGGGCACTGGGTTGCCACAGAGGAGCACAATACCATGGGCAGCACCAACCACTTGGGAGTTTCCCTGCTGGTCTCTCTAGAATCCTCTCTTCTGTTTGCTTAAAATCCTGTGCCCATTCATCTTCATTGACTCATCTGTTCCACACACCAGGCTGTAGTCAGTTATCCTAATGTTTGGATTATTATTGCTAAATGCCTGAATTTTCTTTTCCAGTTGGATGGATGGGAGCAAAGTGGATTACGTGGCTTGGGCCACAGGTGAACCTAATTTTGCAAATGACGATGAAAACTGCGTGACCATGTATTCAAATTCAGGTAGACAATGTAAAAATGTTGAGTTTGCCTTGTGGCATGATGTGTCATTTGCTACATCCCTAGGCTAAAGGTAGCAAGTCATGCACTCAAATCGGGTAAGAGAAGCAGAGAAAATAAAGAAGTTTAATTTCAGCAGCATCACTGTTCGGTTTGTGAGAGTGGATGCTTAATATTTCCTCTAATGCATGACACAACCTTCTCACTTCTCATTTTATGAAACATTTCTTCATGTTTTGATTTGAGCAAAATATCCAGAATGTTTATCTATCTCCTTTATCCCTCCACACATCTTTGTCTGTAAAATGAGAATAATCACAGAACTTGCCTGTTGTTGAGATTAAACATGCAGTATACCTAAAACCCTAAGCAAATGCTTGGTACATCTAAGGTGAGGTATTAGTAGATTATTGTTATTAGCTCTTAGTGGCTATTTAGACAATATATCTGCAACATCAGGTTTATTCTGGGCTCATAGGAAGCCCTCTATAAAGTTGAACTATTATCGGTGTAAGTGAAAGAACAAAAGGGTCAGGCATAGATCTTTCTAGTCACTTGTGTAAAAATGTCTAAGCTATTTCTGAGAATCCTATAAAACATAAGTGGATTTTTTTTTTAAAAAAAAGAATGTTTTTCAATGCAAATATGTAAGTCTAACTTGGCTCTTTTGTCCTTTGCCAGGGTTTTGGAATGACATTAATTGTGGTTATCCAAATGCCTTCATCTGCCAGAGACATAACAACAGCATCAACACCACCATTACTCCAACGGCACCTTCAGTCCCAGGAGGCTGTAAGGAAGGCTGGAATTTTTACAATAACAAGGTACTAAGAAAATTAGTTGTAGTCTTGGTATTGATCAATGCGGAGAGTGACAATGCACATCGTTCAGTTCAGAGGTAACTTTTGCTTACCTAATGCCTTCAGAAAATGTTAGGTGAGAATAGAGAGAAGTTCCTATGTCAAATTCTTTATGGAAATGGAGAGAATACGTGGAGCTATTCTCCAAGTGGGTGTGTCCTTTGTTCTGAGGAAGAAAAAAACTTGGCCAAGGAAGTTCATGGGTGATAAAACTCACTTAACCTTTTGGATCTCTATTTGGCTGGAGAAAATGTATATGCAGCTATAATCATCGTGAAAATTTTACAATTCTTTAGAGCAAGCACTATTATCTGTACTTAGTCCCTTTTTTTCTCTTTCATCCGAGTGTTTCAAAATCTTTGGATTTGTTGAAGACGAAAGAAAAAGTTGGCAAGAGGCACGAAAAGCTTGCATAGGATTTGGGGGAAATCTGGTATCAATCCGCAACGAAAAGGAGCAAGGTATGCAGACATTGTATGATCAGTGATGCACTTAAATATGTAATTTTTTTTCCCCTGCTGATAGTAAATGACATTTTGGTTTTCCAGAGTAAACACTAGGCAGGGGAGAAAACCTAAACACATGTGGAGAACTGTTTTATTCAGTGTAGGCACCACACTGGGCATTTAACAAAGAAAGTCCCTTTTCATTGTTAGGACAACTCTGTGAAGCCGGTTATCATTACCCCACTTGTGAATGAAGAAGTGGTGTTCAGGGAACCCGCTGCTAAGTGGGAGGGTTGGGAATTAAACTGGCTGTTCAACTGACATTCCATTCTGTTTCCACCAAACCAGTTTATTCCCCAAAGAGCCAAAGAAGTAGAGTAGTTCTAGGAGTGAAATGGAAAATTGCTAATTTTCCATTTATTGCACTTTTAATCACTTGATCACATACCCTAAAAGGCAAAAGAACTAATTTTTAAATAGGAACTTTGAACAAATTGAGACTTTTTTCCCCATAAAACATAAGGGTAATTCAGAGCTTTGAAGAAAACATTGAAGGAGAAAACTCACCGTATCCATATAGCAGACTGTAAAATTTATTATGTTGTCAAGAGAAAGATAGTTGACCAATTTCATATGGTCTCTTCATGGCCACCTTACCTGAAATAGATACTAAGCTAAATTAGTGACTTGTCACTTGAAGGAGGATGCGAACCACCTGCAGAGCAGCCGGATGAAGTAACTAAATTCATGGAGGGTTTGGAAGCCACAGCAGGCTGTAAGTGAGGCATGTTTGAAAGACCTTCAGCTTTCAGAGCCTGGAAAAGTGTGGGCTTTGAAAAGAGAAGACCTGTATAGTTCCAGAACAAATACTTAGCACCAATGAACTGCTGTTACAAAGAAATAGATTTAGGCTCAAAATCTGGAGGTCATTCTCACAATCAGAACTGATTTTTTTTTTATGTTATGTTAAACACCATACATTACATCATTAGTTTTTGATGTAGTGTTCCATGATTCATTGTTTGCATATAACACCCAGTACTCCATGCAGAACGTGCCCTCTTTAATACCCATCACCAGGCTAACCCATCCCCCACCACCCTCCCCTCTAGAACCCTCAGTTTGTTTTTCAGAATCCATCGTCTCTCATGGTTCATCTCCCCCTCCGATTTCTCCCCCTTCATTCTTCGTCTCCTGCTATCTTCTTCTTCTTCTTTTTCTTTTTTAAACATATAATGTATTATTTGTTTCAGAGGTACAGATCTGTGATTCAACAGTTTTGCACAATTCACAGTGCTCACCATAGCACATACCCTCCCCAATGTCTATCACCCAGCCACCCCATCCCTCCCACCCCCCTCACTCCAGCAACCCTCAGTTTGTTTCCTGAGATTAAGAACTCCTCATATCAGTGAGGTCATATGATACATGTCTTTCTCTGATTGACTTATTTCACTCAGCATAAC